CTCCACTAAAGTAAGTGGCATTGTGCGTGCCCATGCTTGTACGAATGGAGCCCCTTACTGTCGAGCTCTATTAAGGTAGGTGGCATGGTGGGCGCCCATACTTGGGTGAGCTCGATTGGGTACGCGGCTGACACTCTGAGTGCATGTGTGGGCGACGCAAGGGAGAAGGCCTAGGCGTTGAGTGCTGGCACTGTTAGCCATAAGCGCTGGAGAGTTGCGGCAACGAGGCGGCAGTGTCGGATGGGCACAAAAACGTTGATGACTTTCAATCTTATGTAGTCCTAGACGACCTAAGCTTCAAAAGTGTGTCTGGCAAAAATAATGTTATTCCAACATTAAAATATCTAACATGATTACCTGGAGAGAAATGCAAATTGCTTGCACGAGAGCAAAGACAGAGTTTGAGAATTGCTTGTGAGAGAATTACACCTTTTTAGACTGAGCTTTTGGCGACTCATGAGAGAGTCCTTAAGCTTGAGATATAGGTTGCCTATTTGAGAACAGTGCAGAGGCCAATCTTTTGGCCACCCGTGAAAGAGCCACTCAGCTGGAGATATGGGTTGCCTATTTGAGAACAGTGCAGAGGCTAAGCTTTTGACGACCTATGAAAGAGCCGCTCAGCTGGAGATATGGGCTGCCTATTTGAGAACAGTGCAGATGTCAAGCTTTTGGCGACCCGTGAAAGAGTCGCTCAGCTGCTTGAGAGCAGAGCAGAGGCTAAGTTTTTGGCGACCTGCGGGAGAGCCGTTCAGGTGGGAATAAAGTTGTTTGCTTGAGAGCAGGGCAGAGGCCAAACTTTTGGCAACCTGCAGGAGAGCCGCTCAGTTGGGAATAGGCTGTCTGCTTGAGAGTAGGGTAGAGACAAAACTTTTGGCGACCCACGGGAGAGCCGCTCAGCTGGATATATAGGCTACCTGTTTGAAAACAGTGTAGAGGCAAGTCAAGCTTTTGGCGATCTGCGAGATGATTCACCTCGCCTGCACCTATTGATTTCCTCAGCATTCATATATTTTTGAGCTTTTGTCAATAGTTCTGGCATGCTCTTTGGTAGTTGCTTTATTACTAAAAAGAGGAAGTTTGACGAGTGGAGGCCTCTCAAGAAGGCGGTCATAGTTACTTTGTCATCGGGCTCCTCGAATTGGAGGACCTCCTCGTTAAAATGAGTGAGGTAGCTCTTTAGGTTCTCTTCTCTATCCTACTTTATGCTGAGCAGGTGAGTGACAGGCTTCTGGTGGCAGCGCCCTCCAATAAAGTGTGACACGAAAGGCTTGCTCAGCTTAGCAAATGAGGCAATGGAAGCTGGGGAGAGCTTGACAAACCATTGTCAGGCGGATCCATTCAAGGTAGTTGGGAACACCCTGCACATGACCTTGTCGGGGACATTGTGCAGTTTCATTAGAGTTTTGTAAGTTTCAAGGTGGTCTAGTGGATTCTTCGTTCCATCAAAGATCTCCACAGATGGCATTTTGAACTTTTGAGGGAATAGGTAGTTCGTCACATCAAGTTTAAAAGGTGTGTCAGTTCACCTAAAAAGATAGTCCACAATCTTAGGTCTTTGTGCCTTCATGGAGTTGAAAACATCATCCAGTTGATTTTGCACATCTTTTATTTTTTTGTCCTAGTGGTTGTGAGCTCCTTTAGAATTATCATGGAAATAACTCTCATGTTCCATACTTTGGTTTTTCACCCTTATCTTCTTAAAAATGAGGATCTCTACCATGAGAAGCAAGAGTTGTAGGTCCTTCATTGTGGGCCCCCCTGTGTGAGGCGCCTAAGGGGACTTCCAAAGGGGGGGCACCCAAAGGAACTCCAAAGGGGGTGCCTAGATGAGGAGCACCTAAGTGTGGAGCTCCTTGTTGTCTAGGGCGTAGAGCTCCTCTGACCTGAGGTTCCCAGCCTGTGCTCCTCCTTGCCCAACGAGTATGAGTTGTAGGATCTGTTGGTTTTGTGCCACAAGCTGCTGCATAGTCTCCAACATCTGTTGCATATTTGGGACATGAGCATTTGAGACAAGATTGGTTGGTGGAGTAGCAACCTCCTCCTCTCGTGGTGGATTATCCTTATGTTGATTCATCGATCTGGTGGTGATCGCCATAGATTCAACAAAGAAAGTGTTTAGAAGTGAGAATTTTGTCGTTGTCACAGACGACGCCAAACTGATGATGCACAAAGTAGTTTGCACACCACATGTCAAGTAAACAGTATAAAATACAGTAAAATAAGTTGAGGAGGAGAGAGAAGACAAGATTTATAGTGGTTCGGTCAACGTAACCTACGTCCACTTTGAATGGCAAGGGTCGCCGGTATTTTATTAACTATGGTGTGTAAGGAGAACAAAGAGTTACAAACTTTAAGAGGGAAAGAAGAAAATTATGCTCAAAATGAGTCTAATGCCCCCCAAGTGTTGGTGAGACTTACAATTTAAAGTGGTTTAATGTAGTAATTGAATAGTTAGTCTGACGATCATAACGGGTTGGGGTCATTTAATAGTTATAACGGATTGAGGTGATTTTAATAGTAATTAAATAGTTTGACGACCTCTCATCTCATCTCCTCAACCGGCAAGGAAGTTATTGTATGAGAGAATGTTGACTCTCTCCAAGCCGCGAGGGAGAGGCTCATGAAATAACCCTTACTCCAAGAAGGCAAAGAGAAGGCTCTTAGATGATCTTTACTTCTAAGTGGTAGATAAGATTCTTAGATAACCCTTACTGTAAAATGGTAGAGGATAAGTCTCTTGAATGACTTTTACTCCAAGGTGGTAGAGGAGGCTCTTGAAATGACCCTTACTGCTCCTCTACTGATGTAACTCTTGAAACCTGATGAGCTTGACCGGATATAGACTCCTTTGAATTTGACTAGTTAGACCTCTTGGAGTTGGGGCCTTGGGTTTGGGCTTGTAACATAAATTGGCCTTAAGCTTGACCATCAGTAATCACCAAAATCCATAAAAGGTATATGCGGTGCTCATAAGATAGTCATAAAAATGTAGTGGCTTACAAAGAGATACATCTGTTACAGGCCAACCACCTTAAATGAGTGTATAGAATTTGCAACAGGTTATTAGTAGGGGTGCTCGCTATACAAATGCACGCAACAGTAAAACTTTGCCCATTTTGGGCATGGGCCATGGACTTGATTCAGGCATGGGCCATATGCGGACATGGATGGAGCAGGGCATATTGATTGATTTCCACACTGACGTCTTTTGCATCGCCTATTGTTGGATTTGCTAATACACACTGATCTTGCTCTGGTTGGCATTACCCACCTGTCAATTTGAAAAGAATAGAGCTAATATATGAAGGAATTTATAACCCTTACTCAAATTTGACTCAAATTTAAATTTGGGTAAAAAAAAAGACTCAAAATAATTTTTAGTTATTTACTCAATATACCAAATGAAAGAAAATTCAAATTTTTACTCATTGTCAGATTTTACTCGATTGTAAAGATCCAACGATCATATTTTATCTTTTCCTATACATCTCTCTACTCTATCTTTATCTTTCTGTCTTTTTTAGTCTCTTTTTAAATTAATTGACAAGTTAAAAAAAATGCCTTTGTTAAATTGAAATCATCCACCAAACAATATCATTTGAAAAGGTTAAATAGAATTTTATTTTTTAAAATTTTAACAATCATGTATTATGTATTTTTTAACTTGCACATAAAAACAAAGTAGTAGAACAAAGTGCACTTTTAGTACCATAAAGTATGCAACTTTATTAAATTTGGTCCTCATTATATTAGTTGTTATTTTTGTTCTCAAAAGTATTAAATTTGTATTTAAATGATCCATACACGGATGGTTCAATCATTTATGTGTTATCCCTTCAGACATTATGATATGACTGACATATAATCACTTTCGTCACAGAATTTAACGAACTCTCTACATAGAGACCATATGAATACCAAATTATCAACAATGATATAGTGAAGATCAAATGGACAAAATCGCATAATTTAAGGGCTAAAAGTGTACTTTATTCTAAGAAATAACATAATAAAAATGATATTTGTTTGTTCGTAGAATCAATTAAAATGTGATGAAAATAAGGTGGGAAGGAAATTTGAGACTAAAAGATAATTAAAATGAAAAGAGTTATTGGAGGAAAAAAAGTAAAAAAAAAAAATAGTTTTGGATGAAAAAAAATTAAAGAAATAAACCCTTGAAAAAATATAAGAATTTTTCAAAAAGAATTAAGTAACAAATTTGAGGTTGTATATTGAATTATTTTATCTAGTGCAAAAAATAAATCAATTATTTATATTAAATTAAGTTCTTTATTCAGCTCAAATTTGGAAAAAAATTTGTCGAGGACTAATGACATGTTTGGTCGGAGGGATGAAAAAGTAGTGAAAATAAATTTTTTATTGGTATGAGAAAAATTATAAAAAAAAATATAAAATTTAAATTACTTGAATACCCTTGTGGTGGTAGAAAATATAGAATAAAAATATTTCATGGCTCTCAATATTATGTTGGTTTATCTTGGAAAACAAAAGTGAACCCCACCACTTTTATTTTGTTCATTCAAAATAGCCGCCACGTTTAAGGGGTATTATAGTAAATTTAACAACGGTGATCAATTGCTAGTACTTCTCCTTTCATTTTCCGCCCAAATTTGGACGGATTTTGAATTTTCCTTTCCTTTTCATTTTCTATCCCAACCAAACAAAAGAAAGTCTCTCTTTTCTCTCCACTTTTCATCCATCTTTTTCCACCCATCCAATATTCTCTCATACCAAACAGAGGGGAAGTTTGTATCAGCAGTGTTTTCCCTTAACACATTTTTCGCCTGTATTTTTTTTTCAGAAATGTCTAGAACCCTAATATTTCCCTCCCTGTACCAGAGGATCTCGTGCTCCCACCACTCTGGTGTCGATACATCTCTCTCTCTTCATTTGTGTACCCTTCTGTGAACTCTTGAATCAACTCTCTGTGATTCCATATACTAGGTTTTTAAATACACTCAAAGAGCAACGAAATTAACATGGGAACTAGGTCCCGTTTGGAGGGGATAGAGGTCCCAGCGATCGACACCGACAAAATCAACTGGTTCCAAGTCTCCATTCCTCCCACTTCCCCCTTATCTACGACTAGTATTCCCGCAGTTTTGCCGCCTCTGCCGCAACCCTCTGCTTCTCTCACCGTGGATTACGCATCCTACTCCATCATTGGGAACCCTTCCACCTATCTCATTTGGTACTTCTCTCCTGTCTCACACATTTATCTTTGAATGCGATCGAATGTTTTCGTGATTTTATTTCATTAGGGACAATTGCATATTGAAGGAGGATTTGAGTGTTTAAGCTTTTGCTCGTTTCCCGTATTATAGTCCGCACTCCGCATGCAAATGGACATCCGGTTTCATAAGCATGGAATTCGTGCGGTGGAAATGAATTTCACGCAAAATATTAGTTAAAATTTGAATAAGTTGGTGGAAATAGATTTCAGGCAAACGATTAGTTAAAAAAGTTAAAATTTGAACAATGTGGTCTTGGATTCCAAGACCCATGCATGGAAAAGTGTCCTCAATTTATTTCTTCGTGGTATTCTCTCATTACATGCTGATTTGGTTGGAAAAATAGACTTGGGTAGTTTTTATCCTCCATTGTGGATAATGCACGATTTCTCGAATAGATTGCTGCGAAGAGGTCTAACATTTACAGGTTCTTGCTTATCGATTGTCCATGGTTGCAGCCATTCCATGCAATCTGTCTGCATTGGTGTTCACATATCAAGGTATTCATTTTATGTGAACTGTCCCTCTTAGTTGGGGATGCTATATGTTTCTGTTTGCTTTGAAAGGGGTAAGTTGTCAGGGTTACTTTTTTCAGGATGCTGGGATCTCTTGATGTCTCCATGTCTGTATAAATGGTGAATGGAGACCATGCTAGAAATCCTGCATTGATATTAGAATGCTTTTCACTGAGTAGGCCTCATGTACCAGAAATAAAAAAGAAATATGGAAATAGTCTAGAGGACGATCCACCCTTTTAACGCCACCTGCCATGAGGATGAAGATTGTTTGTTGGGATTGGGAAGAAGAGATTTCAGCATAGTGCATGGAGAATAAAATTTGCATGTCTCACATTTGCGAATGCGACATTCAGGTATAAAGTTAAGGTTGGTCAAAGTATTATTTTATAGGCACTCCTACCAGTTTCCCCACACTTTAGCATGACATGTTTCTTGGCTTCCCCACTAGAATTATCAATAGAATGGATCTATCTGAAGTTTTGATTGTACTATTTGATTAGTTTTACCACTTGATCACTTGTATTCCTTAGCTCTTATTTAAGAAGTAGTGATTACTTAATTAATCCTTCACTTGACAACAAGCGGCACTTGGTCTTGAAGACTAGTGGCTGAGGAAATTGTTATTTACAAAATCAACCGTAAAATTAGTTAACAATTGAAATTAGGTATCTATATTCTAGTGGTTGAATATTAGTCTTGTTGACTGAAGACTTCTTGTGAGATCCCTTGTTAGAGGATCTTCTTATGAATTTTTAGTGATTTAAAAAAAAACAGAAAAAGTTAATAGTGTGAAGATGTTTGATTTTTTCCTATCATTAAGTAGCATGCCTAAATCTGACTAGGGCAATATATTTGGAGTTGTTACTTTCTTTATTCTAGTAGCTTGTAACAAATTAGCGAAATAAAGCAAATGGATTTTACATGGAGAATCATTTGAATTGAATTGTGAAGGGGTCAAAATAACAGCTCATTAATAGCACAATGTGAGGGAAAGCATGTGCAAGAGGCCTGTAATGCTAGCCAGTTAGGAATGAGACCTTAATTACCGAACATAAAGATTGCCGAAGTTAGATGGATTGAGCAACCCTCATCTTCTCAGAAGTGTCGTGGGTTATACCAAACGGACCAGTCTAAAAGCTTGATCATATAAATTTGTAGCATGATAGACCTAGCAAATTAATGCCTACAAGAAGGCTTAAGGGGTTTACCGTCCTTCCTTATGATTTGACTCTTCAATTACTCGATCGCCTATAAGGTATAATAGGTTGGAACATATTCTACCTTTTAAGAGTGATCCAAGGTGGATTAAGATAACAAAATGCGGACAAAGGATAAAACAGAGCTTTAACCAAATAAATACCTAATTGGAAGGGCCAGGAAGTTAAATTAAAGTTATTTTTTTGTCTTCTTCTGCCCTTCCACTGGCCACCATTTACTATCATATCACTCTTTCTCATTGGTATAGAATTAGGTCGTTTATAAATGTCCAACTAACTTACATCAATTCTCTCTTAATTTTTTTCATGTGCATACAACTATTTTTTTAGACATTCTTATTTCTAATTCTATCCTTCATAGTTTTAACACACATCCATTTTAACATTTTCCTTTTCATAACAGTCCATGTTTGGGCGTGTTATTTCTTAGTTGTCCAACACTCAGGACCATAAAGCATCGTTGGTTTATACAACTTTCTTTTTTGTTTAGGGGGTATGTACTTATACCACACAATACACTAGATTCATTTTGACATTTAGTCCATCGTGCTTTAATTTTATTAATAAGATGATCACCAATCTCTCACTTCCTATAGATTCACCCAAATGTCAAAAGTATTCACTCTTCGGTATCTTTTGATCTTTAATTTTTCCTATTGCTTGATTTGGATTTATCTTTTTACTAAAGTTAACATTCCTTATATTCAATTTTAATCCTACTTATCTTAAATCATTTTGATTGTAAATCCTTTCTCCAAACTTCTAGTTTGTTATGAATTCCTTCATTACCTTGGTCAATTAATACTATATCATTAGGAAAGCACATGCACTATGGGAGCTCATCTTCAATGTCTCTATTTAGTTTATTCCATAATCAAGGCAAAAAGATATGGACTCAAACCAGAACCATGTGTAAGCCTACAATGATTGGAATTCATTAGTCTCTCTTATCATTGTTCTCATTAAAGTCTCCATGGATACACATCCTTAAACACATCAATATATCTACCAGTAACTTTTTCCTTCTCTAGAAGCGACCCTAATATATCTACGCTACCATATGCCTTCTCTAAATCTACAAAATTCATGTATGAAAATTAGTTTTTTTTCTCTTTATACCCGAGTAGTGATCAACTAATGCAGCCCTAGTTTTAGAATGGATGTAGGAGAACTTTTGGAATTAAATGGCTACCAAACAAGTAGTAACACACACAAACACAGCAAGTAAACGTCAACAAAGTTGTCAAATGTAGCCATCATGAGACTAAACCAAGTTTATGGTGAAGCAATAATGTTTCAAAATGGCCTATAGACAACAAAAAGCAATAAGGGATGGCTAAAGGTTCAGGTTCTAAGGTCTTTTAATTCAGCTCTGGTTAAGGAATGAATTTTCTGAAGGTTTAAGCAAATTTTCAGCCTCCTAGAACAGCAGGTGCTCCTAGTAAAGGGAAGGGATAGGCTTTGGAAACCAGGGCCAGCAAGAAGAAGGGATGAAAAAGGAAGAAATCTTACCTGGAGAGCCGTAGGAGCTGTTAAACCCGAGAAATCTACAACCAGCTGTGCATAGAAGCTTTAACCACTAGCTAAACAAGTTTTTGAGGAGAATGTAGTAGTTAAAGAAGATAAACTGTATAGAGAAGAAGAGAAAGGAAGAGAAGAAGGAAAGAAAGAGAAGAGAAGACTCAAGAAAGAGAAGAAAACCTGGCAGATCTCCCCCTTGCTGCTGGGAGTTAGGCTATTGATAAGAGAGGGAACTCTAGATTTCAACTCTTCATTCTCTCTCAAGCTTAGGTGTCTCCATCTTATATAATCTAACTTTCACCTCACTTAAATAGTCACGTGCTAGACATGTGATTATTTAAATGACTTGAAGCAAAATGTGGACATCTCCCACATATAAGAAAAAAACTTTAACATAACATAACATAAAAATAAATAAATAAATAAAATTAGAAATGTAAATATAAGTCCAAAAACTAAGCTACATCATCAACTCCACTCCCTCTAAATATCGGTAATGCTTAAGGATTTAGGTATGGAGACTTTTCCTAGTGAATTCTTGACTCTATCGATCCTTTATAGCCTCAGATTGAGGCTACCCATGTCTCTAGCAGTTTGTTTGTTTTGTAGGAGAGAAACCAATCACAAACACGTCTTGAACACATTTTTGGATTCGTGCCCTTCATTCTAACAGGTACACATTTATTCCCTGTACAAATTGCTAAACCAGGAGACATTCATAAATTTCAATGGTGTGAGGACAAGTGCTCTCTTTCTTGAACATGTGGTATTGATGGATGCATAAAATATTGCCCAAACAATTGGGTAAGTTTCATCAACGGTTTCAACACGGGTAGAAAATAAATACAGATAGGTGCTCTGTTGACAAGGCAAAGCCACCCCATCTTCCCGACTAAGGATGACAGTGTTGTGGATATCTGCTTGCAAAGTTGAATCCCTAACCTATTTATAATATTCAAGCTTTTTATCATTCTCCCTCTTTTCTCCTCCATGCAAAAGGCTTTTTTTCCTAATTGGAAAGAGCATACTTTTCAAAACAAGAGTATAAGGGAGACCGGTCCTCGAATGCTTCTATACATCCTGTAGAAGCGGGCTTCCACCAAGGTTTGTGAATTGCTTGTGTCCCTGCTTTTTGGCACCTTTTAATAAGTAAAAAAGTTATTGAAAAAAGGATAGACTTCCATAAAGGCACAAAAATGTGTAAAATGAAGCCTTCAAAATATGATACTGGCCAAGCTGAGGAGGAGCCCAATATGTAATACAAAAATGACTTTGTCACTGTGTGAAGTGCTTGGCTCCTTGCTACACATGTCCACCCAATCACACATGCTCACCCCAATTTTAATAAGGCAAATCTGTCTATGGTATATAGAAGGCTCCTACCCCTCTATGTAAGTAAATGTGTTTGTGTGTGTATACATTATTGTAATACGTATTACATAAGGCATCTCTATGTGAGTGTTTGGAGAAGGGTGTCCCACTGTGTTGCTTTGTTCCGGTTGAACACCTAGGGGCTGTTTGGTATGTAGGTTTGGGGGGGTTTTGGAACATGGGTTGGGGACTAAACCCCCTTAAACCTATGTTTGGTAACTATGGATTTAGTCTAGGGTTTGAAATCCGGCCCGATCATGAAACCCTTGTTCATGGGTTTCATGAAACCCATGAGGGGGGTGGGTTTCATATGTGGGTTTGGGAGTTTCACATTCAAATAATATTTATACCCCTCATATATCCATACCCATGTTTGGATTAAATTAGTTAAGGGGCACAATAGTCATTTAAATACAAATATATTATCATAATAGTCATATATCCCTGCGCATACCAAATATGGGTATGAATATTGAATCGCTTCTTTGAATCCCATCTTTGGTCAAACTCAGGTTTGGACAAGCCAATCCCAACCCCTCCCAAAAAATATACCAAACAGACCCCTAGGATATACATTGTAGATAGAACACAAGTTGTTTTTGGGGATGAAGGTCCCAATTACTGGCTGCAACAGAAGTATGTGGTTTGTACTCGATAATTTAGTTTTCCTTCCCTCGTCATTTTTCCCCATCTTCTGCTGCTGATATTACTAGTTTTTGGCCTCTTTTCGAGCTTTCAACTGATAAGTTGATCTCTTGTTCCATTATTGGATGGTTCCCCTCTCATATCATTATGCACAGGACAGCATAGCTTGAGTGCTTCCTTTTGCTTTTATGTCATATGGTGGTTTTTGATGCGCCAATATTCTTCTCCACTTTGAACAAGAAGATTACCCATCATGGATTATTGTGCAACAGGAGAATTCACAGGAGTCAGCCTCATGTACTGGAGATAGTGGAGATCTGTGCTAATACAGAATTACCAAGGCATGGGTTGCAAATCATGTTCCCTGATGCCCTTTTTCCATTTGCTTTGATCTGCAAAGATGAGGTTTATTGGTCTCCAGTTTATTTTTGTTTTGTATTTCTACTTTGGTGGAGTCAACGATGTTACATCCTACTTCATGTATAAATAAACCTTCTCTTGTTTGCTTGCAGACTAGTGGCTCTGGGAATCACTCCATGCTTTATGCACTGGCTTTCTCAGGAGTTGGTTACCTTGTTAAACTCAAAGACATTTGTAATTATGCATCTTGTTCTGTTATTCCATCTAATGAGATCATCGAGTATTCTACCCCAACTTATCCTCATTGCGGAGCAATAACAGCTGTAGCGGCAACTTCAGGATGTCTTGTTATTGGGAGGAGTGATGGCTCTGTTGGTTGTTTCCAACTTGGTATGCTTGACCCTAATGCTCCAGGTATAAAGTAGTGCTGCTTTTTTGTCTTCCGTTATCTTGTTTTAATATCCTTGGACCTATAGTGCATATGATTTTATCAATTTTCTCGGTTTTTCCTTTTCCTGTTGAGTCTTTAGAATAAAGTTTCTCCCCAGATATGGAAGAACATATAAGTTGCTGGAAATGATGTTTATCATGGAGCAGCTGTGGAAAAGATTGCATTTTGCAATGTTACATTTTCCCAGTGTTTTGAATCATCTAAGTTGCTGTGATTCTGCCACCATTGACTATCATTTCTGACATTTTAAGATAATATTTTCAGGCTTTGTGCATGAGTTTCGGGACGATCCTGGTTTTGGTCGCCTATGGGGTATAATGTCAAGGTATTCATTTATGTTGTGAAGTGTTTCCTTTAACTGTATTTCTTAACTTTTTTTATAATCTTTTCCTTGTGATTAAGTTGTTTCACAGAACTAAATAAAGGTTTTAAAGAAGAATTAATGTAGATACACTCTCCTCTCATAGGTACTTCGGAGTTCTGCTATGGTGGGACTTTGTATGAATATCAAATTATTTATTTTCCTTTTTAGGTTTGAAATGTATCCTATGACAAGCATCCGAGCTTGACGGTTTTTCTACAACGATGTTTCATGATTGTTGGGATGTGATAAAATTGATTTGATGGGCTGTTTACAGATTTTTTTTTTCAAAGAAAGGAGTTTTAATAATTATAATGCCACCTTCATATGTCTTACCCCTGAAAAAGAGAATTCATTGAAGCTCAGTGATTTGGCTGATTATCTTGGTTACCTCATTGGCCCTTGTGTTGTGTGATAGTATGTCTATATCCAAAAGTGTTTCTGTGAAGGGGCGGCAAATTTTCGACGTAATTTGAGTTGCTAATGAGGCGGTAGATGCATACAGATCTAATGAGGATTGAGGAAGGAATCATTTTTAAGGTTGACTTCAATAAAGCTTATGATAGTTGATTGAAATTTCTCGGAGCTTATTTTTCAGATATAAGAGACCAATATATCTTGGATTATTATCTTCAATTAATTTCTCTTTTATTCCTAATCTAAAATAAAGGAGAAGTTTTGGGACACTTGGGGGACTTAGTCAAGAGGATCCGCTCTCATTTCTTATTTACACTAGGGTTTGATGTTGTCAGTAGGTTAATGGAGAGGGTTATGACATTGTCTAGTTAAGGTTTTGTGACTGGGAGAGAGAATAGTTTAGTATCTCGTTTACAATTTGTGGATAATGTCGTCTTTTCAGTCGTAGATGAGGAAACATTCTTGATTTGAATACCGTTTTACTCATTTGTATATCTAATTATATTTTAGAATTATTAATTTTTATTTTGTTAAATATATTGATTAAATCGCTTATAATATTATTATATTATTGTATATCAAAAAATAAAATATAACATATATTTGACGGTGAAATTCAATCTAGTAATTTCATGTATATAATAATTTAACATATATAATTGTATTGTATAGAATTGGATAGAAAATTGTATATAGAAATTTTTTTCATATAGATATATAATTTTTTTTCATATAGATATAAAAATTGTATATAACTGTATTACTAATTAATGAGTTTAAAAGAATTTAAAAGTCCTTATAAAAGAGTCCAAAACAAGTTGGAAAATAGAAGTAAAAAACAAAAATTAAATAGAAGTATTTAGGTGGGTATAATTGATTTTATTATAATAATTGAGTAAAAAATAGGAAATCAAAAGTTTTTCGTAGATGTTGACATTTATAAGTAGTATAGATTTGTTACCGGATACACTTGACAAGTTGGTGGGAGGTGTTGGGTGTGCTTTGTGAAGTTGACCTTTAAAATATTTGGGCCTACCTTGGGGATAATCTCAAATCTGAGGGTTTTTGCGATCCGGTACTTACGAAAATTGAAAAGAGATAGGATGTTTGGAGAAAAAGATTTGATTTCAAAGGGAAATATGGATCTTAGTAGCATTCGATTTTATCAAGGGTTCCTATTTTTTATATGCGGCTCTTTAAAATTTGTTGTTGGGGATGGGGTAAGAATTTGATTATGGAATGATAAGAGGAGGAATGACACACCTTTGATTTTTTAAATTTTTTGTTTGGTTGTCCCGTTGTCCACAATTGTTTTGGTGGGATGTTGCTCTTCTTATCCAATTTATTCAAAATTCAATTTTGTGGAAATCTTAATGGTGGGGACATTGTTGAACTTGCATCTCTTTTATATTTGTTGGATGGGGTTAGTTTGAGACAGCTTCTAGTATAATGGTATGATCTATTCTTTCTTCTCGGGATTGTTTTTGCAAATTTTTTTTATTCTCGTTGATGACTATAGTGTTCCACTATTTACTCCTTCAGAGATGATTTGGAAAGTTAAAGTGTCTCTTAAAGTTCAAGTTTACCCTTGGACTCTTGCTCATTAGAGACTTAAGACTACCGAATTGTTAAGAAGATCTTTTGCCGCAGTGATATATTGTATGGTAGTGGGAATTTTTTTTCTATATTATCTGGTATCTTTATTATTTTGCACGAGGTTATATTCTCTAATTGATTTGTTTTGGGCTTCAACATCCTCTTGTGTTTTATTGCTTGCCATTGAATTTTGGAAGAATAGAATGGCTCGGGCACTTTAGAGATGTGTGGTGTTGGCAATAGTGGATTCAATAGTTGGAAAGGAATGCAGGGTTTTTTGAAGCTAAGTTTGAAGAAGAGAATGTTTTGTGGGAAAGAGTTTGATCCTTGGCTGCTTTTTTGAGTCTAGTTTCCCCAAATTTTACTTGAATTCCTTTGTTTTTTTAATTGGTTCTTTGTCTTTTTTTTTTGGTTCCTTCCTTTTTTTTTTCTTCCGGAGGCCTTCTCGTCCTTCTTTTACCTACTTTTTCTTTTTAATAAAAGTTTTGTTGCTGTTCATAAAAAAAATTTTATGCTATGATTTATGTATTTTGAAGAGCAATGTGGGTCAAAAAAATAATGTTGAGATTTTATTTCACATTTTATTTCTTTCTTTTACCTTTTGTTTTGTTGACTTCCTTCACAATACTCCTTTTGTAGAGTGGTGTCAGTGTTATTTAAGGCGTAAAGCGAACCGAAGTGACCAAGGCTCCTAAAATAAACATTTAAATTAAAACAAACACTAATAATATCTCAAATCTTAATAACAGTCATAACTTAAACATTTAAATTCAAACAAACACTAATAATATCCAAAATTCTAATATTTAAAAACATAAGACACACAATTCAAGCAACTAAAGAAATTATCTCAAGGACTGAGAAATCAATCAGTAAGCACAGTCAGAATCAGGAAATCAGGGAAAAAAAAAAAGGAAAAAAAACCAGTAGGAGCAGCCAAAAACCAGTAGGAGCAGCGACAGAGAGGAAGAAGATCCAGAACCAGCAAACGAGCAGCGAAAAAATCAGTAGGAGCAGCGTCATAGAGTCGATCGTCTCTGTCAGGGAAAAAAAAGAGGGAGCAGAAATATTATTAATTAGCAACGATCAGCGAGGAAGAAGATCCTGAACCAACAAAAGAGAAGAAAAAAAGAGAAATAGAAGAGAGAAAAAAAAATGAGACTAACCTGTGCAGCGATCAACGAGGAAGGAGAGTCTGTCGGTTGTCCAGCCTCCAGCGTGAGCAACGAGTAGCGAAGAAACTAGTAAGGAGCAGCGACAGAGAGTCGATCGAGTCCAGCGATCATCTCTGTCCATCGAGTCAAGCCAGCGATTCCAACCAGCGATCGTGTAGGAGTCCAGTGTGAGGAGCAGCGAATAAATGTGATTTAAATTAGGGTTTGAGGTTTTATTTATTGGATAAGAGAATATTTCGGTGTATCACATCTTATAATTTTTTTTTTCCAATTGCCCAATCCAACGGTCCAAATCAAAAATAAAACATTTCGCTTCAAATAACAAAAGCGTTCGCTTTTTCGCCTAGCGCTTAAGCGCAAGGCGAACGCTTTTCTCGCTTCGCGCAAGTTCTCTTTGCCTGGAGTCCTCCAAGCGAGAAAGCCTCGCTTCTTGCCTAGGCGCGCTTTTCAAAACACTGAGTGGTGTTACTAGTGTCATAGACAGATGGTTTCAACCTTAAGGTATGGGCCATTGATCATATCTTGTGTCTCCAATTGCCTTGAGTACAAGCTTTAGAGTTATATACTTTTCATGGATGCCACTAATTTCACATCTGCCCTGGTTTATCATTGTCTTAATTTTGACACCTCAAATTTGATTACTTACTAACTAATCTGTGATGGTTTAGTTAACCAAGCGGGTAGCATAGTGGTGGATTTTTTTATTATTTGTTATTTCTTGTATATGATAACTTATGTAATTTCATAAAATGTCATCCAGGAGTAGGATGGTAGCTGCTGTGCAGGATTTGGTAATATCAGAGGTGCACAGGAAAAAGCTTCTTTTTGTGCTCCATTCTGATGGGATCTTACGAGGATGGGACCTCACGAATCGCAGCAGAATTTTCAGTCATACCTTGAGTGATCCATCGTTGGCAGGCAAACTATATAGTCTTTATCTGATATGCTGCCGACTTTCTGGTTTCGGATTAGTTATAATATTACTAAATTCCATGTTAGCATGCACATTTTTTTGGCATTAGGATGTTTCTTTTGTTTCCCATCCTTTTGTTACATACTATGTCCATATTTTGAGCTGAAAAATAATTGTTAGCTTTCTTTGATCACCATTAGGGATTTATCATAGTCCTCTGGTTAAGTAGATGTAAAAATTCTATCATGAAAACACTAGCTGTTACCATAGTATTAGTAAGGTTGCTTGGTTTAAAAAAGGAAATGAGGTGCTAGTCTCCGTTGATCACTTTCTTCATTGGAAAATCCTACAAGGATGCAATTTGGCGTGATGTCGTACCTATAACGGACGGAGTGTTTAGTATTTGGGAGACTCTCGAGTATCTCACTTTCTTGTTAAAGGCATAGTTTTGATTAACGAATACACAACGCATAATTTTTCTGACATTTGAAGATTTGGGTATGCAATTAGTA